GATACTGTACTATTTACTAGGCCTATAAATAATAATCGCCCAAGGGGAATATCTTTTGTGTTATTTCCCCTTAACGTCGTTTTTTTAATTGTCCTCTAATTCCTCCATTGTCTAAGTTCCCCTTAAGGAACAGGTAATAATAATAATTAATTAATAATAATAATAATCATTTCAGCATTAATTACCTTGGCCTACTTGTAATAAAGAACCTACAGATACTATTTCAAGGCCTATAAATAATAAAGGGGAATATCTTTTGTGTTCTTTCCCCTTTGTCTAAGTTCCCCTTAACGTACAGGTAATAATAATAATAATAATTATTATTATTATCATTTCGGCATTACATATAACTTGGTCTAGCCTTGTAATCAAGAACCTGCCGATTACTATGCCTAATATTAATAACTAGCTCATTTTTACATTCATTTGTTGCTCTGCCATTTTGGCAGGTCTTATGGCATCCAGTATTTTAGAGCTGCCTATTCTCAGGTCTTCTCTTAATTTGAAAATAATAATGTCATTCTGTTTCATTTGATCAGTGATGAAGAAAAACGCGCTTTTCCTTACTCTTTGTGCTTTTCCCAGAAAGCGTTTTTAGTAGGCCTAGGTAATTATGCAAAACCGCGGCCTAACTAAAAAATTAAAATTGTCATAATATGTAACTCAAGTTAAAAAACACTTTTCATTACTCGTGCAGCTTAATCAAATATTATATGTCATTTTAAACGACCCATTGGTATTAACATGGTACGGTAATATCAATGTATTTTTTAAAATCAGACAGCGACGTTCTCTCAGAAGTTGGTTGTTCTTAGCTGTAGACGTTTATCTGTTGATGACCTTTTGACCTCCTGAATTCTGCAATGAGATTTTCGTGTCGATTCAGCCGAGACGGCCCGAGTGGCGTTTCCTGTAAATGTTTCGTACGGAAAAAAAAATCGCATGCGGGGCCACCACCAAGAGGTAATATTATTAGAACACGGAGTTATAAAATTTTAAAAAATAATTATAACTTCCATGATTAGAATTAGGCTAAAACTTTAAATCGATGACACTCAATAAAGATTCAGGGGCGGATCTGGGTTCACATTTATGGGGGGGGGGGGGCAGACAGACTTNAGGGGGGGGGGGGGGGGGGGTCAGACAGACTTTTTTTCATAAAAACGTCAAAAAGAAAGGGGGTCCGGCTCCCCCCTGGGAAAATTTTGATTCTAGATGGGGAAATGAGCTTTCCAGACTTCTGAGGTGTCTAATGACAAGGTTTTCCTCTCTTGAAAACGGTTAGGTAAACTTTCTCATTCTTATTACTGTAAATAGACCTATTTATAACAAAAAATGGATTCATCGGTAGACTTACTAATTTGTATAATTATATCTCTAATGCCGAACACACTTTAGATACAACCTCCAATTCAATTTCTGGAGTTAGGTTGTATAGGAGAATCATGAAGAAGATGGTTCTGATAGCGACATTGATTTATAATGTTTTAAGTACCGTAATGCAACAATAACATTCAGAGGCGAATTTAGAGAGTTTTAGATAAAAAGTATTTATTAAAGTTTTCATAAGTTTGTCTTATACCAGGGGTGGCGCCAGGATTTGCCCGACGAGGGGGTGGGGGAGGTGGTGGTCCGAGGATCCCGACCGGGGGTGGGGCTGATTCCCCCGACGAGGAGGAAGATTTCCCCGACGAGAGCAAGGGCATGGTACATCCTCGCTTAAAATGTTGCGAAAGTAGCCTCAGGGCGGGCGAGTCCCCAGGAAATTTGGCAATTTAGGGGTTTCAAAGGATTATTTAATCGATTGAGAGTCTAGTAATGTGCAAAATACATATAATTTTTTCTTCTCCCTGACGAATTGTGGTCCCCGACCCGGGGGGGGGGGAGCTCATGACATGAGATAGACTTAATTCATACTAATTAAAGCGAGCCACGGATTTGGCAATAACAGGCCCTTCAAATTTTTGCTATAGATCGACTACAATGTACATAATATTTAATACATTTAAATCAAATTTATATCAATTTTAATATTGTGATTTTAAATAGCAGAAGTGGATTTAAGGGGAAGGGGTAGTAAAAAAAAAATAAATAAAAAATAAAAATTGATCGCCCAAATTCATCAGGTTATTTTATTTATTAAAGTTTTCATGGGTTTGTTTTAACGCCAGTTTGTGTTACCTAACTATGTAACTTAATTCATTCTAATTAAAGCGAGCCACGGATTTGGCAATAACAGGCCCTTCAAATTTTTGCTATAGATCGACTACAATGTACATAATATTTAATACATTTAAATCAAATTTATATCAATTTTAATATTGTGATTTTAAATAGCAGAAGTGGATTTAAGGGGAAGGGGTGGTAAAAAAAATAAATAAATAAATAAAAAATAAAAATTGATCGCCCAAATGCATCAGGTTATTTTCGGGCGTCTAGAAGACAAATTTCCTCTAAGATGGTGTTATCTCGATCGGACCCACTAAAGAACATAGGCTATTTATTTTTAACATTGTTCTGTGTATATCATTTGAATTTCTTCAATTTCAAACGAAGGAGCGCTGATTTTCGTATAATTTTGTAGTATTTCAAATGAATGTACCCACTGTTGTCTTCTAATCGGATTAAAACCTGGCCGAATTTTGGCCGATATTGAAAAAAAGTTTGGCCGAATTTGGCCGTGAGATGGCGTGTGTTTGGCCGTGAAGCCTGTCGATTATCTGGCAACCCTGAGGTGGTGTACAGTTATTTGGTATTATAGAAATTGAGAAATACAGAATGGCAAACCTTCGTAACGTTACGCGGAACCTGATATGTAGCTCAAAAAGATTTTATGAACAAGTCATAACACAACAAACCACTTCAAACTATTTTCGAAGATATGTTTTAGCAACAAGAAACTCAGCTGACAGATATTTTTCTTCTCTTCATCCAAAACAAGCCAAAGAATCGTAAGTGTGGTAGGCCTAGATCCTAGCCTAGCCTTGGTGTAGCCGGCTAGGCCTAGGCTAAACTGACTAGGCCTTGGCCTAGGCCTGGCCTACGTACGAGAGACCTACCTAGGCCTAGGCCGGCCCTAGCTCATCATTATGGCCTGGCCTAGGTAGTGACACGGGCTAGAGTAATTATATAATAGTAGTAGTAGTAGGCTAAGCCTAAACTTGACCGGTTGAGCCGCCGACAAGTTGAGCCGCCGGTAATTTCTATGGAACGCCAAGCGCGTCTATCAGTGAATGTAGTCGGCTTGCCCCGGATGCTACATATTATTCATCCCACAGTCTTGTCAGTCGTTGATTTGCTCGTATTGCCGTTCGTGATGTATAAGTTGTGTAATTAAAAATTAGAATTTTGATTATTTTATGTACTACATTTTTATAAAAATAAATGAAGTTGTATAATTGCAAAATCGTTAATAGAGCATTAATAAAACAGTACCGGTAATAAGTAAAATTAGTAAAACCAATTTGATTTAAATAGACAGATGACTATAAACAATAAATTTACATGTGTTAGGCATGTTATTATACAGTATTTACTATGGTTTTGTAATTTATATATTTTTGTTTTTGTACTATTTGTAAAACTTATATATAAGAATGTATGGAGTTTTTGTTTTTTACTATCTGGCAAGCCGACTGAATTAGACAGATGACTATGAACAATAAATTTAAATGTGTTAGGCCTATGTTATTATACAGTATTTACTATGGTTTTTTTAATTTATATATTTTTATTTTTGTACTATTTGTAAAACTTATATATAATAATAATAAGAATGTAGGGAGTTTTTTTTTTGCTATCTGGTGGCAAGCCGACTGAATTAGACAGATGACTATAAACAATAAATTTAAATGTGTTAGGCCTATGTTATTAAACAGTATTTACTATGGTTTTGTAATTTATATATTTTTATTTTTGTACTATTTGTTGAACTTATATATAATAAATGATAAGAATGTATGGAGTTTTTTTTTTACTACAGTATCTGGCAAGCTGACTGAGCAAATACTCAAAATTTAAGTTAAAACGATAGAAAGAACAAGTAAATAAATTGAAATACGTCCCAAAAATATTTAATAAATTAGTGCAAAAACCGAGTATTAAATAAATTGAAATAATTGAGTAAATAAACTGAAATACATCCCAAACCAAACAACAGTACAGGTACCAAGAACGAATAAGTTAATTGAAATACGCCGCAATTAACGCACTACATTCACTGAGAGACGCGCTTGGCGTTCCATAGAAATGACCGGCGGCTCAACTTGTCGGCGGCTCAACCGGTCATAATCCCCGTGGACTACTTGGTAGTCGATCATTTCGGTCGCGCTTCGTTTCGGTCGCGCCTCATTTCGGTCGCGGTTTATTTTCGAACAAATATATGGAGCGCCGAAGGAGTTGCGAAAACGCAAAAAATTTAATATGGCTAGGACCTATATATTAATATAATTTAGTTCGTGAAGCGGTTTATCATAGGCCTAAGTATTTTTTTTATTTCCGTTTTGCTATCTTTCTACTAGTACTAACATATTTTTATCTTTTTACTAACATATTCTCTTTCTTCCATTTATGGTGATATATTCATTATTGAAACATGATCTTATGATTGAAACAATGGAATTTAGTATGTGCTTCATGCTATTCTTTTTGTTGCATTTTCATAAACTATACTTTAATAATTGTCTTTATACTAACAACATTTTATCTTTCTACTAACATATTCTCTTTCTTCCATTTACGGTGATAATAT